GACGGCATGCCGACTCACTCACCGTGGATCTTCGGCGGCTCCCCCCTGCCGTTCTGGGGCTTCAGGGGTCCACCAGAAGATCACACGAGACACCGACCACCAGCCCCGAGGGGCTGGTTCCGTTGGCAGTCTTTGCAGACGCTTGGCGGAGCCTGACGAACATTTCTCCGCGGGTCCTGCGCACTGCCATAGATGGGTATCGACTACAGTTCATAGCCCGCCCTCCAAATTCAACAGAAGAGAGGGGGTGGTTTGGACTGTGGTCCGCCCGGAGCAAGGTCCGGTGTTGGGACAGGAAGTTTGTACTCTGCTGAGGAAAGGGGCCGTGGAACGTGTCTCCCCCCCAGACAGAGACTTCATAGTCCCCAAGAAGGACGGAGGGCTGCGTGCCCTATTTTGGATCTGCGGGTTCTAACCGGTCTCTGAGGAGATTCAGGTTAAAGATGCTCATCATCCCCGCCACCGTGACGCACATCCAATCTGAGGATTGGTTCGTCACGATAGATCTAAAGGACGCCTATTTCTAGGTCTCCATCAGTCCTTCTCACAGGAAGTTCCTGAGGTTTGCCTTCGGGGTGTGGTTTACCAGTATCGGGTTCTTCCATTCGGCCTGGCACTTCCCCTAGCACATTCACCAAGTGTATGGTTGCAGCACTGGCCCCGCTGAGGCTCCGGGGCATCCGGATTTCAACTTCATCGACGACTGGCTCATCCTAGCCCAGTCTCGAGAGTTGGCGGTTCGGCATCGAGATGTCGTTCTGGCTCGTCTGCGGCGTTTAGGGCTGAGGCTCAACGCAAAGAAGAGCGTGCTGGCGCCCACCCAACGGGCTACGTTCCTAGGGGTTGCATGGGATTCGACAACGATGCGGGCACAATTGTCTCCGGCACGTGTCGACACCATATTGGCTGCCGTGAAAGGGGTGAAGTTAGGCCACGCCATCACTATGAAACACTTTCAACGAGTGTTGGGTCTCCTGGCGGCTGCGTCCAGCGTAATACCATCTGGACTGCTGCACATGAGACCCCTGCAGTGGTGGCTAAGGAACAAGGGTTTTTCCCCGAGGGGAATCCTCTCCGTCTGGTTTGGGTACGCGCAAGTGTCTTCGTTCCCTATCAGTTTGGAAGGAAACTTGGTTCCTGTCCCAGGGGCCCGTGCTGGGAGGGTCTTGTCGCCGGCTGGTTATTTCGACAGACGCCTCCCTCACGGGCTGGGGCGCGGTCATGGATGGCCGCTTTGCAAGGGGATCCTGGCAGGTGCATCGATCCGAGTGGCATATCAACTGTCTCGAGATGTTGGCGGTGTTCCAGGCTCTAAGGAGTTTCCTGCCCGATCTCCAAGGCCACCACGTCCTGGTTCGTTCCGAGTAGAACAACACAGCGGTGGTGGCCTATCTGAATCACCAGGGCGGTCTGCGCTCGCGCCCTCTGGACAGACTGGCGCGTCAGATCCTCCTGTGGTCCCAGCAGAGGTTACTATCGCTCAGGGCGATGTATTTCCTGGGGACACAGAATCAGGGAGCAGACCTGCTGTTGAGGCAGGGGCTGAGGCCCGGGGAATGGAGACTTCACCCCGAAGTGGTGGAGCTCTTGTGCGAAGAGTTCGGCCCCATAGACGTGGATCTGTTTGCGTCTCAAGAGACTACGCACTGCCCGCTATGGTTTCTCTCGTTCCTCCAGCCCCGTTGGGTCTGGACGCCATGGTACATTCGTGGCCGAGGCTACGTCTGTACGCTTTTCCCTCAGTCGCTCTGCTCCCGGGGTTCTGGAGCGGGTCCGCCAGGACTATGTCGGCCTACTGCTCGTAGCCCCGTTCTGGCCAACCCGGGTGTGGTTCTCGGACATCATGTCGCTCCTGGACGGCCCGCCGTGGCGGGTCCCTCTGAGGAGAGACCTGCTGTCCCAGGCGCAGGGCCGGGTTCTTCACCCTTGCCCCGCCATATGGCGACTGTGGGTCTGGCCCCTGAGGGGGCACAGTACCTAGAGGCGGGTCTAACAGCCGGAGCAGTCGAGACCCTCCTGAGCTCCAGGGCCCCGTCCACACGGAGGATGTACGGCCTGAAGTGGAGTGTTTTCTCCACTTGGTGTAGGGAGCGGTCGGTGGACCCTGTTACCTGCCCGGTGGTTCAGGTACTTGAGTTCCTCCAGGACCGGTTCTCTGCTGGTCTTTCCCCTTCCACCCTCAAGGTGTACGTGGCAGCTATTTCATCTTTCCACACCCCTCTGAGGGAGGGGTTCTTGGGGAAACTTCCCTTGGTTGTACTTTTCCTCCGTGGTGCCCGGAGGATGAGACCTGCGACTCGGTCCAAGGTTCCCACTTGGGATCTGGCAGTGGTTCTTGGGGCGTTGGCTGAGGCCCCCTTTGAACCCCTGGAGTCAGCTGAGGCTAAGCACTTGACCCTCAAGATGGCCTTTCTCCTTGCTATCACCTCTCTAAGGAGGGTGGGGGAGCTCCAAGCGCTTTCGGTTTCCCCGCAAAGCCTGGAGTTTGCCCCGGGGAATATTAGGGCTATCCTGCACCCTCATTCAGGATACATCCCTAAAGTGCCTTCTTGTGCGGCAGGGTCCACAGTGCTGCAGGCATTTCATCCTCCACCTCATGTGACGGCGGAGGACGGGAGACTTCATCTGCTCTGCCCTGTCAGAGCACTGAGTATTTACACTCTGAGGTCCTCCCGTTGGAGGAAGGCTGACCAGCTGCTAGTGTGTTTTGGGTCTCCCAGGGCCGGGCTCCCTGCATCCAAACATACTATTAGCAACTGGATTGTTCAGACTATTTCCCTGGCCTATCAGGTGCGCGGTTTGCCTTCACCTGTGGCTGTGAGGGCTCATTCTACCAGAGGCAAGGCGGCCTCTCAAGCCCTCCTTTCCGGGGCCTCTTGCAGGATGTTGTTTAGCGGCTGGCTATGCCACTCCGCACACATTCATTCGGTTTTACAGTCTTGACCTTCCTTCGGCACCTGGCACTCGTGCGCTCTCCTCTTAGTAGTGCCACTTTATTGCACACAGGGGCAGGCGGGGTTTTCGGCACGGTTTAGTGGGTATCTCGTTCCCATAGTGTCGTAACCGACGCAGTTCGAGTTCCCTCGAAGGGGAACGTCTCGGGTTACGTATGTAACCCTGGTTCCCCGAGAAGGGGAACGAGAGACTGCGTCGGCCCGCCGCACCTCTCTCCCCGCCTGAAGCGCCTGCTTCATAGTTTAAGCTAATGATGAGTGTGTACAGGTGTGCTTTATACTCCTCCGGTTATTCCGTCACACCTTACCGTTCTAGCAACAGGCCAATAGGATTGGAGTGATTTCATTCACGTTCAGACCTGCTTCGCCTAGAGGCGTTCCCATAGTGTCGTAACCGACGCAGTCTCTCGTTCCCCTTCTCGGGGAACCAGGGTTACATACGTAACCCGAGACGTTTACTCTTATCGAGCCTGGACCCAAGTGCAATCAACATTATGTGAGAATCTAACAAGGCCCCATTGTATCTCATTTGGATGTCTGATTCATGGTGTTCACTGTAACTTCCCCTGCGGCCAATTAGCAACACTGTTTGACTGGCCGGGTGTGTGTGTCTTTGTAGAATGTGAGGCGTGTGTGTGTGTGTTCTTGTAAAGTCTGTGTCTTCCTGCAAAAATGTGAAGGCCGCAGCCTGAGAGTAATAAGGCTGAGCGAGAAAACTGCACCTTAAAGTTCAGTGTATCTTTCAATAAATGCCTTAAACATCATTCTAATAAACATGTTAAACATTATCCTAATAAAGCTAGGCATGTAAAATATTCAAACATCATAGCGAAATAAAAATCTAGGGCAGTAATTTAGGGAAATAATTTTGTGTAACAAATTCTGTCTTAGCCTATACCTCTAATCATGTTTGACACCTCAGATTTATCTTGGGATCTCAATAGAACATGCTTCATTTTCATGTGACCATGACCCAGGCAGACTTCTTGTGATCATCTTGTACAAGAAAACATTGTGGTAATCATAAAATTGTTAGCAATCAGCAGGCATAAGGTGATTTCTGCCAGAGACTGGAACAAACATCAGACACATCTATTGACATTATGTAATCCAGTACAACACCAATAACTCTTACCTCAAAAATTAACATAGTTTATGTGACACAGTCAGTAAAAAAACTGTATATAATAGCATACACTACATTTCACAAGCTATTTTTTTCTTTTTATTCCTGGGCTCTTGCCAGCAGGGTTTTTGGATTGCAGTGTAGTACATGATTACCCTCCTTCAATAACCACCTCACTGGGGCCGATCTGTCCTCACATATCCACAATTACACCTGTATACTGAGCCAACAGTGAATGATACAGAAATCATTGAGCCATAAAATACTATAAGGTTATGGATTAACCTTTTATATAGTCCAGGCTCAATCAGATATGTTGTTTTTGTTATCAGCAAAGCCTCGACCAGAGACCAAGATTTATAACCAAGACCTATCAGTTAAAAGGATGTCTGTTTATATCTGTCTTAGCTCCTTCTGAAGGCCAGCTGGGCTGTGGTTCACCCACCTCTTCTGGCTGAAATGTACTAACCAAAACCTAAGGATTACTAAAAGTGTGTGTGTGTGTGTGTGTGTGTGTGTGTGTGTGTGTGCGTGAACCGAAACCACAACATCTCCAGCTCAACAATTTACAAAACATTATGTTGTTTCTACAGCAGCTCTAAACACTACCATATCAGGGAATAGTGTGGGAGAGTCTGGACAAAATTATGTCATTTTATGCTTGTGCACTTTATGATACATCTTGTGTGTTTTAAGGTTCATTACTGCCTATTATTGACTATTTTATGAGTTGTTATGATGTTGTTGCTTATGTATTCTTGATTAATTATTATTTTATTATGTTGTTGTTTTCTGTTATTTTTGTCTCTTATTTATGACTACACTTTGTGACTTCGTTCTGTGAAAGGTGCTATATTAAATAAACTTACTTTCTTACTTGCAAAGAAATCCTAATCCAGACCCAGGGTCCTGAGGGTCAGTCTCACCAACCACTACTCCACCCTATCTTCTGTCTCCCTGTCCTTTCAGACCTGTCTACTGGCTGGGTAATGACACCCTGCGGGTGTCTGCAGCCCTGTTTGCAGAGAACCGTCGACGACTGTGCCAAGGGCTGAAAGCCAAAGATGGAGTGGTGCCACAGTCAGTGGTGGTGCTGCAGGGAGGAGAGCAGAAGCAGAGGTACTGCACGGACACAGACCTTCTTTTCAGGCAGGTAAGTAGTTTTTGAGTTGACTCCAGGATTGTTACAAAACTGAGGCTGAGGTGGGGGCAAGGTTTGTATAATTCATCCATCTATGATCCTCAAGCATGTCCTGTGTCAGTGTCCTCTCAGTTTGTTGTGCCCGGTCGCTAAAGCGCCCAGAAGGCATTTTATCAAGGTCCCACAAAAACCTCACCCAGCTTCTCTCAAAGTCAAGTCCAGTTCTGAGCTTCTCTGGCACTGTTAACCTCACTCTGTCAAAAATATGTAGGCCAGCGACTCTGCAGAGAAATCACTCATGTCTAAGATCTGTTTTTCCAGACACTCCAGCATAAGCTTATGACACATTCAATGTTTTGTTTTGTTGTTGTGCTCTGTATTCACCTCTCTGGACGTAACTGGCCTAATGAAGGATAACATCTTATACTTTTCATGTAATAATCTGACCAACATTGACTAACTTCCTGCTTTCTTCTTCTGACTATTATAATCTCCCTCACTAATGCTCTGGATGATTCTTTGAATTCTGCAGGAGTCTTTCTTCCACTGGGCTTTTGGAGTGACTGAGCCTGACTGTTATGGAGCCATTGATGTGGACTCTGGGAAATCCATCCTTTTTGTTCCCAAACTGCCTGAAAGCTATGCTACTTGGATGGGAGAGTGAGTCACACAAATCTTCAAAGAGCTGTGTACATGGCCAACAATCATCACCAGCTGGTCCACAGCCGTGAGCTGTAACCTGAAGAAAGGGCCGACAAAGTCATGCGCTACACAGTTCCATATTTTACATCCACTATAAACATGTTTTTATAGAAGAGTTTGAATTTAGTTTATTTATTGTAAATACCACCCAGAACCATTTAAGACTTAATTTTGTCGTCACCCAAACCAACTCAGACATGTTTGACTCTACTGCTACCAAAGCCAGTATTTCCAGTCCACACACACATGTAAGAAGAGTGCTAGTATTAGTTGTATTTATTTGCTTGTTTAGTTATTGCATCTTTTAGAAATTATTCACCCTCTTGCAAATGGTCAAAAAACACAACCTTGACAAAACAACTTTTCTTCTTACAGAAGAACATGACTATTTTACACATTTGTATTGAATTATGTGCGGATAGATTGTGGATTATAAGGAATGAAGCATACAGTGTTACAGACTCCAAACCAGACATCATGATCTGGAAATAAACTGCAGACTCTTGACCATGTCACATGTTCACTTTCCACTGATCTTCAAACTCCAAAACATGTTTGTCATCTGACTTGTGTCTAAAAATAACAAATTCCTTGTTATTTGCACTTGAATGTGCCGAGTTTGTCATTAGTGTTGCTTTCTCCCTCTGATCTTTGTCCAGTTTTGCTAGTGTCTAACCCTGTTTTATGTTTTTAAGTTCTCATGTTTGTTGACTGTAATTTTCTGTTGACAGGATCTTTCCTAAAGAGCACTTCAAGGGGAAGTATGCTGTTGATGAGGTGCATTACACCTGTGATGTAAGTCTGTGTTGGTGCTGGTCTTAACTGTGTGTGTGTGTGTGTGTGTGTGTGTGTGTGTGTGTGTGTGTGTGCGTGTGCGTGTGTGAACTTTTTCTGTGCAGTAACTGAACCTTGATGTTCAGTCACTGAGCTGTAAAGTTACAGCAAAGGACATCAGTTCTTCTGTAGACAGTTTTTTAAAGGTGAAAGGACCAATATTAGGTTTGTACTAGGACCTCCTACAGTAGAGGGTGACGTTGCAGACATTTTTACATCTCCTCGGCTAAACATGTCAAGTAAAATTCAATTATGAAGCCTTTTCAGCCAAACATATTTGTCACAATGTGTTATTCAAAGGGATTCAGATAAAAATTAACTTGCATAGAACATCTTTGAGGCCTGTTGGTGGTTACGTGTGATTGGATGTTTGGGGCATGTGCACTCATTTGTGTGAGCAGATGATCAGGCCACCAGTCCACGATATCAGATATGGCTGTTGTCTGAGAAAATGTGGACAGTAGTTGGGCTCACACAAAGCACACACTAATAATTCATTTGGTAGAACAAGTCTCCCATGTGTACGCACCTCTTACATAGATCAACCATCAAATTCTCTGAAGACTTTTCATTTGAATGTTAATTTAAATGTGTAACCAGCAGCTTCATTCTCTTCATTTTAACGGCCTAGTCTAAAACATACGTTCCTGTTCAGACTGTCTGTAATCGCTTATTTTAAGAGTTTGGGAAAACAGTCATGTGTATCGGTGTTGGCAGCCGATTCCCAGGGAACTATGTTGGAGGCTTGACAGCTTCTGTGCTATTTTGGAGGTGTGCATGTTGACAAATCAAAATAATATAATCAGCTTATAATATAACAGCTTTCACTGGCCAACTACTCATTTAGAAGTTTGCATTTGAAATGATGACATTCATTTCTACATTTACACTGTGACCTTTTGATGACTCATCCTACTGATGATTTTTCTGGTATTTTTAAATCTCAGCATCTGCCTGAGGTGTTAGATTTCCTAATTAGTTACAGGTTAAGATTCAAATGATCACTTCCTTCAACATTCAGATCTTCCATGTAGCAATAGCAGCTCAACACTGCAGTATAATTTTAGAAAACATTAAATTATATAATGGTTGCCTCAGGATTTGTTTAACTAATACTGCCATTTAGTCAAAGAAATCAGTTGGTGGTGTTCAGCATTGAGCTGGAAATGTTGCCTGCAGAAGGACCTAAAACAGAACAATATTTTTTTTTTAGCAGAACAAGCTTCTGAATATTTGAGCAACTTTCCATTTTTCAAACACTCAGCCATGGAGGGTGTTGTTACACACACACACACACACTTTTATCAGCATGTCCTTGTTTAACATGCAAACAGTTCACCTTTGAGTTGTTGAATGCAGCAGTTTGTGGAGAAAACTATGAATAATATGTTCATTATTTTAAAGTATCTGGCTGGTGTTTACCATCATGATAAATTGTTGGCTGAGTTTTCTTGATATCTGTATTTATTTATCTGCGATGATATTTTGAGTAAATTCCAAGTAAGTGCACATTTGCCTACCCAAACCTATCTTGTACAGCTTTTTGAATAAAAAAAAACAAAACAGGAGTGTTTTTGTTACCACTGATTTATATCCTCATGACTCTTCAAAGTTTTTTCATGTACCTCTACTTGACTTCAAATCAAATGGTTGCGGTAACCAGGTTTAAGTTATTGTGCCAGCTAATCATTGACTTATTTATGCAAAACATTTCAAACTTTTATGTAAAATAGCAATTATTCAAATGTCTCAAAATGAAACTGCAATTCAATATTATCTAGATTTTATGTGTTGGAGAACACAGTTAATGTTTTAGGAAGTCAATGTCAGTGGTATTAATAATCACTGCTCAAATATCACCACAGTGTTTGTGAACACTGAGTCTGGGATCTGTTTTCTGACATTTAAGCTGCTGGCAGAGGAGCAATTAAGGCACTTGAGGTTTGTCATTCAGTGTGCTGATGAGTAGCAGAGACGCCACATAGCCACAACGGCGTCTGACAAAGTGACCTTTATTCTGCAGCCGGGACCAGAAGTAAACTGGTGCTTGTTGAATCGTCTCCTCTACTGTGTGTCTCAGTCTTCTCATTGCTCTCTGTCTGCTTCCTTGCAGATAGTTGATGTCCTGTCCAACCTGGGACCAGCAGTGCTCCTAACACTGGTATGCTATTGGCTTCTCTGTTTAGCAGAGTGTAGTTAGAACTTTTAAAAACCTGATTAATATGTTGACCTGCTGCTAAAAAGTGCAGTGTGAGAATAAGTGCAAACTCCTTTTACTAGTTCTACATCCTCTACAGTCCATCTGTCATTAGAAAATAGGTGTCATTAATAAAATGGATATAAACCAACTGATTGTACTGTAGTGACATTGGAAAGCACTTTTTTGTGTTTGTGTTTTTCCTCCATGCAGCGAGGACAGAATACAGATAGCGGGAGCATCTGCCGCGAAGCCTCCTTTGAAGGAATTAGTCGGTATGTTTAATTGGCATCACTTTGCATTAACATAATTATACTTTGTTTTGGGAGGTTTTTGTTTTCTCTGTTATAACCAAGGATACAACAGACTCATGCATACCAATTGTTGCTGATTAACTTAATTCTGAATATGATTTAATTAAGCAACAATCTTGCTTTTGCTTGTCAATTAATGGCAATCTTACTGTCTTAGCGCGTCTTTGTTCTTTTGTTTTTTTAACTGCATACATTACACCATTTTATCTATTCTACACTCTGACCCTAACTGGAACACTAAGTCTCATATACTTATTTCAAAGCTAATGTATCAATTTGCATCACATTGCATTTCAGTAAGGAGAGTTCAGTTGGAAGTGTATAACAGTATTTATTGAAGAGAGAAAACATTTTTGGCCATTTGACTCCATCGATGAAGCATCTTTTAAGCGTAGGCACATATGCACATTGGAAGTAGGATAGGATCCTCCTGGAGTCTAGACAGTGGTGGTGGTGGAGTAAAGCTAGCAGGTGGTTAGAGGTAACTTTCAGTTGAACCTCGCTGGACATTCTGGAGGTCATGGTGGTGACGGCGAGCAGGTGTGTTGTGCAGTAGTACGCCTGAAAGACAGAATGACAGAATTGTAATGACACTTCAAGGACCACGGGCAGAAGGATCATTGGTCAGTATGTGGACTTCAGAAACACAATAGAACAGCAGGAAATAGACGTTCACCCATAGAGGAACAAAGGCAGAACACTGAACTTTCACCAAAGCTTCATTTATATTTATTATGCTTCTGTTTCTTGTTGTTCTTGTTTTATCAGCTTCCAAGTGAACAACACTCTTTTACACCCAGTCATTGTGGAATGGTAAGTCATTAAAATGTGATTTATAATATTATTCAGAGAGCCCACTTAAGATGAGAATAAAGAATGTATTGTAGTCTCTCAGTTTCATCAGTCAGATTTTGCTACCTTTAACTCACAAACCTTGGCACTTACAGCTGCCCAGTCATGTAATTGTGCAATCCTCCTATCTTTTCTTTGGCTTGTTTTTTCCCCTCTTAGAATTACAAGCCAGTCTGCACGGATTTAATGGACTTCGTGCTCGCATGGTTGTCCTTGGCATTAGAGTTTGCACCCCTGAGATGAATTGACATTTTCTGATATAAGGAGGAATGCTTTTCAGGCACACCTCCTGGGGAGAAAGACTTCGTTGAACCCCCCTGCCCCTTTTTTCGTTGTGGAGCTTGCATGGCTCCCTTTTAATGGGCCGTTTCTTTGTACTTTTATTACTGTTACTAATGGGTACCACTGTCTTATGATATTATTGTAGAAGTCCTTACTACTCTCCAGTATCTAGCCATCTAAGGTGCAGCTACCACTTTCTTAACACAAATGAATGAGAAATTGTAAGATCAGCAGGCAAACAGCTTCAGTTCTAACATAGTCTTAAAGCCTAGGTTTAAATCAAAGAATGTATTACATTTTATTATGGTCTGAAACACTTTCTGCAGAATATTTTGAGAAGGTTTCCCACTGGAATTTCAAGAAATTGCAGGTGTCATTTATATACAGTGTTCCTGAAAATGATGGAGGATCATCTGCCAGACATTTGGTCTCTGTTACTGCATTAGCAGTGTATATTTCAAAAATGTCTCTATTTGAGTCATCACAGTCCAGATACTGTATTCCTTCAGCTCAGTGTGATAGCTATATGAGTTCTGAATCCTGTTTGGCTGCATATTAATCATACTGTGCTGATATGGCAATGATCAGAATGAGAGCGCTGGTCTGTCTGTGTCTGCAGCCGTCTGATTAAGACTGATATGGAGCTGGAGGTCCTGCGCTACACCAACCGGATTTCCAGTGAAGCCCATAAAATGGTAAGATCTTTCTCTTCTAGACACATCATCTGCAAGGTTTCTCAAATATTAAGCACAAACAAGCATTAAACACCCAATGTATCGAAGTACCAAGCTGCATATTGACTTTAAAACTCATCCAAAGGATTCAAGATGTCAGGATCCTCAAAGGCTGTAAACTGTTTAAATGCTTTCGATTTTAACTTCACCTCGTAGCTCGAAGGCCAGTTGTTAACAGAGATAGCCTTTGACCAATAAGCTGTAACATTAAAGCAATATCTTTACTTCAGCACCGGATATCGCTTTATCACCATGAATAACCTCTTCAGGGGTTGAGGAGCAGTTAACCTCTCAGTGTTATCTGTCCTCTGAAATCACTTACCATGAGCGGTCAATATTGTTTTCCTCCTGTTAGGCTTAGTTTAGGTAGATTTTTACCTTTGTGTCCCAATGAAACTACATGAAACTACCATGAGAGTTTACTGCTTTGTGCATGTGTTTGACATTGACATCCATTTCACAAGAGTCTGCAACGGTTTTATCCAGTAGGTTTTAAGTTTGCTATTCACATATACTGTAAAACTTTGATTAATCAGTGAATTGACCCTGCCTATATTTGGGACAGGCGTCCATATGGGATAGGCCTTTAATTCCTTTTGCACAAAACTGAAATAGGCGTTCAATGGAGACCTGCGTTTATTTGTCAAAATATGTTCCCACACCAGGCCAGTAAAGGAGGTAGGCGGCTATTTGGGACTCGGCCATTTATTGACGTTTTACGGTAATCACACTTTTTCTACGTAGGTCATGAAGCATGTGAAGCCTGGACAGAAGGAATATGAAATGGAGAGGTACGTGGAGCATTTTGTCAATGGACTGTCTTGTTTTTCATGCCTGAGATGTATAGGTCCGTGTTTGGTGAAAAGACATAGTACACGTAAAACAGCTGACTGACATATAAAGACATCTCGTTTATATCTACATGATATTTGTTATATTACTTTATAGCCGATGTAATGACACTGGTAAACCTGTCAGGTGGACATGGCCCTTTCAGCCTAGATCAATTTAGATTCAGAACTTAGTTTTCATCACGTTGGAAATTGTGTCACAGTCAAACGAGTGTGAGTTTCTGATTCACCACAAAAAGCAAATGTCAGCCATATTTGGCCGCTTTTTTCTGTGTGTGTTTTTTTTTAAATAATTTGCTTATTTTCCTGTGCTATGTAATTAGAAATAGGAAGACTCTTCTCACACAGCATTGTGATGCTGTCAAGATCCATAGTGTTTGACATGCTTGACCGTGTGATGATTAAAGAATGAGTCCTGAATGAATTCTTAAAAGGCATGGAGTCAGGAAGAGGGCAGCGAGAGTCCTTCAGCTAATTAGAGTTTTCTGTGATCTTTGCTGTGTTGAAATCGTTTACATTCCTTTTTCTTACTGGGTCTTTTTTTCCTTTGCAGCCTGTTCCAGCACTACTGCTACAATAAAGGGGGCATGCGCCACACCTCCTACACCTGTATCTGTGGAACGTAAGGCTTTGTCAATGAATGTTCACCCATTTCATTTCCGACTGAAGCTGAAATTAGGCTTCTCCAAAGGTGCATGTACACGTGGTAGGTTGCAGAAGAGCTGATACGCACAACTTTCAAATCTCAACTATGTGTTGGGCGGACTGTGCGTCTAACAAGCTGATATAACAAAGCATTAAAAAAATGGCATGCGAACTTGTACGCGTGACATCCGTGCACGTTCGCTTGAATCTAGACAAGCATAATTACAGTCTTACTCAGATACTTACCATAATTACTTCCTTAATTGATTAATTACACACCAGGCAAAATAAGGATGTTGTTATTAATGAAATAAAAGATTGTGTTGAGGTTAAAGTTGCCATTAGTTCATATATTTAGACCAAACACCATCAAATGCCATCTTCACATGTAGGACAGAGCATTACTAACTAAATATTATAAACACTTTACAGTATAATGCAGAACATCCTGTAAGTCTCTGTGGCACAGTGGAAGTTGAAGTCTGTAGCCTTTCAGCATCCCGATTGGCTTATTGGCCAAACCACCATCAAATTCCTCTTTGTTGCAGGGTAACTGTCAGCTAGCAGCATCATTATGGATGAGGAATTTGTTGTACTACTCATGTGCTGACCTTTTGTATTAAAGGCCATGTGAAATGAATTCTTCCTGGGGATTAGTGGTCAGTGGATGCAATTAATTTTCCGGTTCAAATTAAGAGCTTGAAAAGTGAGGACTTTTTAAAGTAAAGGAAAATTGATGACACACTGAAAAGACTGGAATCCCTTTGATATTGTGATGAAATACATTCTTTAATTCAACATTGTGTTAAACATAGCTTTGTTAGTCATGTAGCTTTTAATGTCATGTGAGTATCACTTTGTGGTATAATAAATTATTTCTCATTTATTTACATTTTATCTCTCTTCTGTCCATGTATTGTGTCATCTGTCAACACCAGAAGCAATAATTGTTCTGTAATCTTCTACAACCAGTGCTGGAGCTCCCAGTGATGAGACAGTTTTGGATGGAGACAAGTGGTAAGTAGCTGTCAGAGTTTTTAGCATGGACTAAATCAATAACTGCTATACTTATGACAACTGTGCCACCTGCAGGCAGTCGATGTTACAGTTTTACATTTAGTTTTACCATTACCACCCCCTTTAGCTTAAATAAAACAATAGAAATAGAACATCATTAAATCCAATTACCTCCAGAAGATATATTTAATATTCAAATAGAAATACAATTCAGCTTGTTGCTTTTGTAAGACATTTCTTACATTTCATAATTTCAAAATATAAATTGTGTACATGCACAAAAAAGCTAAAAATAAAAAAACAGCTTTAACAATCATGTCTACAGGGTCTAAATTGCAGTAGCTCTATCTTTATTACCTGTAAACAGTGCACATTTGCAGTGTTGAACTGCTGCTACTCAACTCATCGTGCCTTTAGGTCGCACAGATTGGACTATAATTGTCTGAAATTGTTGGTGTTGTAACTAGATGGCACTGGCTGGACCTGGATTCTGGTGCTTTGTGCATTGTAATTAACTGAAAAACCCAAAGCTCAGTCTGTTTGACACAGGTGGAGAGTATTACTGCAGTACTGCTACTTCCCAGCAAACGGCAAGTTCACGACCAGAGTGCCGTCCATGAGGCTGTCCTCAAATCCTCCCAAACTGTCATGGTTGCATCAAACAATGTTATTACCTTGATAGAGTTTAACTATTGATTACACATTACTGACATATAAAGAGTAAACTACACTTCAAATTCTTCTGCCCTCATCAGTTTATCACTGGCATGGAGATGAATAGCATATAGTTTTGTTGCATCCTATCTTTTTTGTTTTTGATAAAGCTAGTAATGATCTTTAGATAAGCCTAAAAATTAGTTTAAATCTCAGTTCAGTTAAACATTTTTATCACAACAATTTATTAATACAAGGTTTTTTTTTAGGTATAGGGATATAAAATTTCCAAATTTGATATCCATGTTAGTGTTGTTTTTTACTTGTAAGCATGCTAAGATGTATTTAAAGGTCAAGACAAAAAACCTCCTGTTCTTTATAAACCAAGCTGTTTGTGTTGAAGGTGTGAAGTGGACCGACATGCACCGCCTAGCTGGAGGACATGCTGAAGGTCCACCTGGGCTCCTTCTTCATGCCCCACAGCCTGGGACACCTGCTGGGCATTGATGTGGAAGGGTTAAGTTTTCTTTCTTCCTACTCCTTTTCGCACATGTAAATAGAGGTTTTTTAAATACTTAATATTATGGAGTTTTACTTTCATCTGTTTTGTTCATCTGTTTTTTAACACTATTTTGTCTTTCTTTTTTTTTTTTCAAATGTTCGAAATAAAACGTCAATCAATCAATGAATACCCTCAGGTGAGAACAGAAGACTTAAACTGTGATTGCCCACATCACAGCTAACTAGTAGGTATCGGTCAAAGTTCGAAGACAGAAGAAAAAAACAACTCCAATATTCATGTGTCATCAATAATAGAGAGAAGTGCAGAAGTGAGAGCTGAGCAAAAAGAGAATCGAAGTTCAGGATGATTGCAGTAGAGAGAGGAAGGTGAAATGTTGTCTCAACACAGATGGTTTCAGGTTGTGGTGGAGCAGTTTGTACAGTTATGCTCTTCTGACAACTAAATACAGAAGACAGTTTACCCACAGTAGCTCCAGTGGAACTGCTGAGTCTTCACCAGCAGAAGGTGTAAGTGTGTGAATACACTGTTAAGCAAAGCTTCCTGGATATGAATACAGGGCTCAGTCAGTCTTTGGATACATGCCAAACGATGCTGTTGGCTAGTTTCAGTAACTACAGAAGATGGCTTAATGTAGTGACACCATTTATCTCTAATCACAGTCTGAACCAATCTTCTTATCTGGATGGAAACGTTTTGAGCTTTTGTTTTAAACTGTGGTTTTAACAAACTAGGGGGTGGAGCTTTTAATGAGCCTGGACTGAAGAGTCTTCGAATGGGCCGCCTGGTCCTCATCGTGGACCCCGGCATATCAACCACCTGCCGGACCAGGCCCTGGTCAACCCCGCCTAGAGCTGCTTCATCAAGAACCAAGTGCTGGCTCGCTTCTGCGGCTTTGGAAGGGTCAATCTGCCAGCACAGTTGTATATTTCTGTATGTTTTTTCACTGGACTTGATTTCACTGGAGTTATTCACAAGAGAGCTCACAAGGCAATGCTAACTTGTTTCGCAGTGTCTGCGTAGCATGGTATATAACCATGAAAGGAATTTATGTGATTAAATGTACAATAGTGCTGAATCTTTTGCCAAAGCCTGGAATAGAATTTTACTTTGTAAAATTTCCAAAATTTTACAAAGTAACTTAATAGTGGAAATCTGTGGATGCTGCTACTGAAACGCAACTTTATAACAAAATCAGGTCAAGCTGTAAACAAATCCCTGGTTAAACCATAGGGTTAAACTTGTGATATACCTATACTCAACTATTTACAAGTGGTCAAGGTGAATAATATAGCATTAACGCTATCATAAAACTGTACGTTGCACTGAGAACTTAAATTGATTGTATCATCTGTATTCAACATATAAATTCATGACTTTCCCTTTTGCATTGATGGAATTTGCCTTTGAACCCTACCTCAGTAGTAATAGATCTTAACTCAGTGTCTCTAGCTTTTCTCTACTCAAGCTTTCTGGAGGTTTTAACGCATCACAGTCACAGTCTTACCTCACTACTTTAAATGTGGCCTCCTGGAATAATAAATATTTGTTAAAAAATAAATTATGTTCTTTGCAAATATTGATTCATTGCATTCATACTTTTTTTTTGTATTTGAATACAGATCAGTACATTGGACCACAAAGTTTCTGTGAACCTAGCGTAGACCTCTTGTCCTCTAAAAGAAGAACCGAAGACCGCCTTTGTCCTCTAGATGGGCAACTGGAATCATTTCCTCATCTTCTAGGTGATGTTGATGTTGAAATGTAAAATAAGTCAAATACAGATGTTTCATTAGTTGCAGCAATATGTTGAATACTGAGGGATCCTGGTATTTTAGTTCCTCTCTTGTTGATTGTTTTGGGGAAAATCCAGAATCATGCCATCATGTTGGCAAATTTTGGACAGGTATTTTCCCCCTTAGATATTGAAATAATTGCTAACTTGAGTCATCCTGAACTTAAACACTGATACATATACAGTACTTATTGATAAGAGGTACTTTTACAGTGCGTGGAGGGAACTGATAATACAGTTGAACATTTTAGAGGTACAGTATGCAGGTCTTGTATTCAACTGATAAAAGGGGTGATAATAATAATGTTACAGGCCCCAGGCACAGGGAATGTGGGCAAATAAAACCTGTGAAACAGAGAAATGATAAACATAGGAAACTTGCTTCCGTTGGTCTTGACAGTCTTGCCACAATTGATTTAATAAATACAGTCATTTAAGTCAATCAATAAGGTCTCCTCTGCACATCACTCATTTTCAATTAAGTTACTAAATTACATAAGGTTAACAACATCAAAAAACAGCTTCATACACAAAAATGACAATTAATCCTCGTAGTCATTATACCTCATTCACCAGAAGGGAATGTGAACCTCCATCATATTAACATGGAATATATATTTTTTATATTAACAGGATAAATAAACCGTTTATCACAGTAGTTCTGTACACAGAACCATTGACAATTTAACAACCGTTAATAACGTTCCAGGCAAGATAGTGACATTTTCAGCATTTAATTGATATGGATGAATTCTAACCAACACGAAACATATTTTTATAAACAAATACAATTAAAACACCTTAAATGTAAAACAAAGAAAATGCCCAGGAGCTGTAAACATTAAAGAGGTGGTATTATGCTTTTTGGCTTTTTCCCTCTCCTTTGAGTTATATACCTTTTTTGTGCATGTACTAGGTTTGCAAAGTGAAAAAGCCCAAAGTCCAGCCCAAAGGGAGTTCCCATCTCCCACAGAAAACTCTGCTCTGAACTGCCTGAAAACAGCTCGTTTGTAGTCCAGCCGCTTCCCTTCCATCCCTGTGATGTCACAGGGATGAAAGCAAAATGAGCAGCTAGTCG